ACATTTTTAAAGATATAAGCTCATCCCGATGTTACACTCATCAAGAGCTTTCATTTGAGTACCCACATGTATTTTTGATATATTTTTCATATATTCATATATATAGAATATATAAATATATGAAAAAATGATGTGGGTACTTAAATGAAAGTTCTTGATGAGTGTAACATCGGAATGAGCTTATATCTTTAAAAATGTCAATATTTCACAAGATAAAATGTCATTTCTTAATGTTTTATTATTTAAATACACTGGCCACAAAATTTTGCTTATTCTCTTAATAATATAGATAATAATAATAATTAGTAACCTACCTACTATTAGTCATTTTTTAACTGCTTAAAATTACAAATTAGAATTAAAAGAATTTTAGATGAATTATTTTTTAATTTTTTTCACTAAATACATAGTTTAAGTACTATTGATATAAATAAAAAAAAATATTCCTCCACCCTAAAAACAAATTTCTTTCACCAAGAAAATTTCAAAGAAAAACGAGAGTTATTTTGGAGCAAGAAAAAATTTTCTTGGCTCAAAAAACTTTGACTTCATTCAACAAATTTCCAACCTTCCTTAATATTTTCTTGAGCCAAGAAATTTACACTCCAGCCAAGAATTTTTTTTTTTCAGTGTATAACAAGATCAATTAACAATTATATTAGAAAAGTATATAAAAATATAAAAATAATTTTATCTTAAAAATAATAATAATAGTTTATAGGACAGAATTTTTCCTGTAATAAAAAAAATGAAGCTAATTGCCAATAATGTATCTATTTCAGACTCAGAAAGCGGTAGAATGTCAGCTGAAAGTGACGACGAGGGTGTTAACGACATCGGAAGTGCCCGCAGAGAGTCATCGAATTCAGCAGGATCCTCGGCAAATAATAGCAAGGCCAGAAGAAGAAGAACAGCGTTTACCTCTGAGCAATTACTGGAACTCGAGCGTGAATTCCATGCGAAAAAGTACCTCAGCCTGACAGAGCGCTCGCACATTGCGAATACACTCAAATTATCCGAAGTTCAGGTAAAAATTTGGTTCCAGAACCGTCGCGCCAAGTGGAAGCGCGTAAAAGCAGGCCTGACTGCAGGCAGTGCAGGTTCTGTGGGGCGAAACGGGCATAATGGCCAGCCTGGAAGCGGCCCAAGAATTGTGGTACCAATTCCCGTCCACGTAAGCAGACTCGCAGTTCGCTCTCACCATCATCATCTGGAGAAATGTCCTCAGCCGGCGCACAACAGGTCCTCGAACTCGCCCTCCATCAGTGCGGGATTGAGACTGGGGACCGGTAATCCTGGAATTAGTCATCAGCTCGGCTCCAATGCTGGATTACGGGCCTTCACTGCTGTACCAGTTCACCAACAAAGCACTCCGGGAAGATAGCTGAGCATTTGAATATAATTATTATATTTAGTCGTTAGATTATTATTATTATTATTATTATTAGACTTTTTTAATATAGCAATACGTTTTTTTATTACATTTATTTGTTACTAAATACCAAATATCTCTATATAACTTAGTCTAAGTTCAACTAGGGTTTATTTATCATTTTGTGATATAATATTATTATTATTACACATAGATAGTTTTATTTATCATCGTTTTTGGTAAAAAAAAAACTGGCTTAACTTTATTTAGTGACCGTGAATTTTTAAACTCTTTAATTTTTTTTTTTTTTTACTAAAAAATTGAATTTAAAAAAATTATCTTCAATAGGATATTTCTTCTCTGAAAATAAGGAAGAAATCATTTTTTTTTTATTCTAAAAAAAATCATTTTTTAAAACTATGCTGATTAAAAAACAAAGAAGATATTTCCTCTTTTAAAGAATTGAAAAACATTTTTTTTTTTTTATATATAGACAGTTAAAGAATAAGAACTTTTTTTTATAAAATTAAAATATATCTTCAAGATATTTTTTTTCTTAAAACAATATTACAATCTCTTTTTTTTTTTTATTAAAAAATTTAAAGTAAAAAACAAAGTTTTAGTTCAATATTTCTTCTTCTAAAATAATGAAGAAATGGTTTTTTATTTTTTTTTTTTATTCTAAAAAAATCATTTTTCAAAATTATGGTGATTAAAAAACAAATATATTATTTTAGAAGATATTTCTTCTTTTGAAAAATTGAAAAACATTTTTTTTTTTTTATATATAGACAGTTAAAGAATAAGAACTTTTTTTTATAAAATTAAAATATATCTTCAAGATATTTTTTTTCTTAAAACAATATTATGACTTTTTTTTATTAAAAAATTTAAAATAAAAAACAAATTTTTTGTTTGATATTTCTTCTTTTAAAATAATGAAAAAAATTATTTATTTTTTTTTAATTCTAAAAAAATTATTTTAAAAAATTATGGTGATTAAAAAACAAAAAAATTATTTAGAAAGATATTTCTTCTTTTAAAGAATTGAAAAAAAATTTTTTTTATAAAAGTATTTTTTTTTCTTAAAACAATATTAAAATCTTTTCTTTTATTAAAAAATTTAAAAGAAAAACCAAATTTTTATTTCAATATTTCTTTTAAAATATTAAAAAAAAATTATTTTTTAAATTATGTAAAAGCAATTTTTTTTTGCTAAAAACGATGTTACATTTAAGGAGTTGAAATTGAAGAAACTATCACAAAAAAA